ATAAAATACAAAATAGGGTTGGGGATGTGGCTCAGTTGTGGAATGCCCCCTGAGTTCAATCCCCAGTACCCCCGCCAAAAAAAAAAAAAAAAAAAAAAACTTGGGCTGGAATTGTGGCTCAGTGGCAGAGCACTTGCTTGGCATGTGTGAGGCACTGGGTTCGATTCTCAGCACCACAGATAAATAAATAAATAAATAAATGTCCATTGACAACATATACAGATGTACAGAATTGGAGATGAGTTCTGCTCCTGCTTTAAGCAGCATGCTGTATGGGAGAGAACAGTAGTGGAAAGGAGGTCTGGGTTCTGGTCTTTCCTCTGCTGCTTAGTCCTCTGTGCGCCTATATAAGCCCTGAATGTCTTTGAGCCACTTCTGTAAAATAAGGATAATGCTTTTGGAATTATGAAGCCCATGGAAGATAATYATAATGACAGCAACTGCAGTTCCAGCCACTACTGCCAGTGTATGTGCCAGGCATTCTGCAAGGATTTTAAGTGCATTATTTAATCCTTACAAGGTCCAGTGATCTATTGTACAAAGAAGAAAACTGCCCACAGTCATATAACTAATAAATGGTGAAGCTGTAACTCCAGATGTATGGGATCGTAGTGACCGAACTGGCCAAGAATCCCGGTCTTCAAACAGCCTTTCTGCAGACCACTGTTTCTAGATAGAACTGAAGAGATAAGGAAAGGTAACTGGCTGTAATAAAGAAGGACTAACAAAATAAGAAAGAAATTTATCACCTTAATTGAGAGCTCAGAGAAAACTTGAGTCAAAGAAGCCAAATTTAAACCAAACTGTCCTCCTTTACCTCTAAACTTCAAGCCACTTGGCTTCTCCCTCATTACACTATTATTTGTGACCCAAGGAAGTTCTTTTTCACTTACAGCAAAAGGTTTATTATTAAAAAATTTAACAGTCACTGATACGGTTCAGTTATTCAACTCTCTATGCCGTGTCTTACTAAACTACAGCCTAGTAAATTTGCAATTACAATAATCTTTAGGTTGTTGTTTTTTAATAAATTCCTATTAATTGTAGCATTAACCCTGAGATATCATGTTTCCAGTTTGGACCTGAGCCAAGCTGGAAGAGCCATCATCTGGGGCAAGTGGCTGATGGGGAGAAGGCGTACAGTGAACTGGTGGACTCAGGCCCATTGCTTAAATCTCAGGTTCTGCACACCAAAGTCTAGAGCCTCAGGACACATGGGGCCCCTTGGTAGGAATGGAGGGCAAAGAAAAGCTGCCACCTTTTCTGCTACACCTTCTCCTCTACTCACATTTATGCTTTTGGCAGAGGGAGTTTATTTTTTGTCTCTGTAGCAGTGCTAGGGACTGAATCCAGGGCTTTACCCATGTTAAGCACATGTTCTACCACTGAGCTGCATTCCCAGCCCCTTGGGGGTTTTTTGTTGTTTTTTTTTTTTAAGAGTAGAAACTTTTAAGTTTAAAACTTTTAMGTTTTTTATCACATCTTATATAATGTACTAATTTAATTTGATAAGTAAATTGTCAACAGCATTTAAAAATTGGTCATATAATTAGAAAGTCTGTGAGCTTTGTTGAAATAATGATGAAGTAAGACTAGTCAAACAAGAAGAATCTTAAAGCCTAAGCGTTTTGTTTTGTTTTTGTTTTTTCCTTTTTTTAAAATCTGTTATTGGCCTTCTTAACTGCTAGCTTTCTCTTTTTAGGCAATATTAGATAAAATTCTTTTTAAAAAAATTTAACTTGTGGGGCTAGGGTTGTGGCTCAGCAGTAGAGCACTCGCCTTGTGCATGTGGGCACTGGGTTCGATCCTCAGCACCACATATAAATAAAATAAAGGTATTGTGTCCACCTACAACTAAAGAAATATTTTTTTTAAAAATTTAACTTGGGGCTAGGGATGTGGCTCAAGCGGTAGCATGTTCATCTGGCATGCGTGCGGCCCGGGTTCGATCCTCAGCACCACATACCAACAAAGATGTTGTGTCTGCCGATAACTAAAAAAAAAAATAAATATTTAAAAAAAAATTTAACTTGTACTAATTACTAATAAAGGGTCCTTCTCAAAAACCTCTTAAATATGAAAATCAGAATTGTTTCACTTAAAATATATGCATTGTTTTTACACAGAAATGCTTACAGCAATTTATGCTTTAATAATAAAAGTTTAGAAACATTCTAAATCTACAGTGAGAGAAGACAAAAAAAAATGTAAGACTTTATTTTAAAAAATAGTTAAGTTTTTCTCTCACATAGCTGAAAATCGAAAGAAAAAAATAAAATGTGATTAAAAGTTTAGGTATTATGTAGACTTTTTTGTTGTTTATCCAGAATACCTTATTTCCTCACCATTCATAAGAGAGAATGTTTTCTTGATAATTTTCCAATTTTTATCTGATACTGTTACCCAAGTTCTCATAAACATTCAAGGGAACAGAAGAACAATATCACAAAATTGGTATATCAGAAAATACTAAAGTCTCCACCTCTCAAGTTTTAGAATCCATCCACGAAGAGGGGTAGCATGGCAGCTTAGGGCTTGTGGGAAATCGAGAAGCCCTGTGTAATGGCGTTTGGCTTGTGTGCCATTTATTGGCACTTACTTAGAAAATATTGAGTTTGAATATAAAGTTCCCTGCTGGGACACCGAGTCAGCATGGGCTCAAGGTCAGTTCCATTGTAGGTCTTCAGCCTTAAACAACCCACATGATTGCTACCTGCTTACCTTTCTCACAGGGCACATGTAAGGGTTCCAAGAGTAGCAGAGGACCCTCCACAGTGCTAGGAACGTTAGCGATCTCATTCCCTTCCCTTTGTAGTTGGTGGTCCAGGTATCACACTTTATTACTTCTGTGGAATGCAGTGTTGAAAGCTCTCTGGGAGGTGAAATCAGTGAAACTCTTTTCCTCTTGTGTCTTAGGTACTTCTAGGTATGTCCAAGCTGGTTCCTGATGCTCTGCCTTTTTTCAGCCCACCAGGAGCCCAGCAGAGAAGCAGAGCAGGATTCAAGGGGCTTGGGGGCAAGGGCAGGCAGAGGGAGCTATCAGGTTCTTCACTCTTCACAGCCTGGAGCACTTGAGGCCCTGGCCTCTAATCACACCCCTGCACCCTCTGCTTGGATGTTGCAGGCTGGCCCAGCTGATGCTGCCGGCCTCCTGGGCTTGTCTGTACAGAGGAGACTCTCTGGGTGGTGCTGATGCTCTGTTTTGGTTTGATTACCTAGTCAACCAGCAAAATCGTTTAGAGAGGGACACTGTCAGCAAGTGGTAAAGCAAAAACAATAAAGCCAGCCACATGTGTAGCTTAACCAATTACTGTGAGTTTTGACAACATATTAACTGAAGACATAGATTAAGCTGGATTTTGCTTAGTTTTTTTTTTTTTTTTTTTTTGTATTTCTTGGAAACTAAAAACGGTAATTTACTGATCTTCTTGCCCAGTTTAATAAGTACCCCAGTGACCACCCCTAATTATGAAATCTCTCCTGGCACCCCACACTTAGAGTGAAGCAAGAAGGTCTCACAGGCCTGTGGTTACAAACCTCATGGTCACCTATTCTCAAGGCTGCTTGAGTGTCTGAGGCCACAGGATTAATCCAGCATGAGAACACCTGAGAGAAGGGGGAGCAGAGATCTCGTTCAGAGCTTGGGCTATAGACACAGGTAGAGGGACCCTAGATCCCTTCTTCTTTGTTAGTGCACTTACAGAAATTGTAATTTGAAAATGTATTACTTGAATAATTATGGATGTTTTTCTCCTGCAAGATTGGAAGTTTCTTACAGTCAGAGCCTGCTGATGTGCATCCGTCTCCCTCCGCAAGGCCTAGTGCACATAGTAACTAGTTGTCAAACATCTATGATTTCAAGTCCTGCCTCTGCTCCTGYCTAGTGCTACCCTTTTACCAACCACTTAACTACTCTGTGTATGTTTCCTCATCTGAAGAATACATGTCAAGTGGTTCTTGTGTTCATGCCTCTCTCTGCCTCTCAACCCAGTCTGTGGATTTAGTTGTATTAAAGCCAATTTTATCCATATATAATAATATCTAGAACTGTTATCAATATTCTGGCAGGGGCTTAACTAACATAGTATATAATACAACCATCATTTCCAGGGTCTGGATAGTCTATTGCCATTAACTGATTATTATTTATTATTTCAGACTCAAGTATAATAATGCCTACCCTGCTTTCTTGACAGGGTTTTTACAAGGACTAAGCAAAACGATATATGTGAAATTACTTCAGAAACTATAAAGCTTTGTATAGCTCAACAGTGATTATTATTGCTGGCTCAAAGATATCTTCCTGAGAAGTAATTCAGGCTCAAACGAAGGCACTGAAGACTGAGGACTGTAAAACATGTGTGTGGCTAGCCTTGTAAAGGAGAAGTCATCTCCCAAGTTAATTTTTCATTAAAAAGAAAGAAAGAAAAAGTCCCCTTGATGTTCTCTGCCAGTTCTTTAATGCAGAGTGGTTAGCATTTGGGTATTGGAAAGGCTGTTAATTGTCAAGTCTCAGTCCCAGGTTTTAGTCTACCCTGTCAACTGCCTTCCTGAGTTATCAAGGGCAAGTCCTTTATCTTCTCTGCCAGATGAGGATGACTGTTCCACGAAGATAAACTAAGGATTGAATATTGAAAACAAGATATTCAGTGCCCTTCAGACATCTGTGGCATCAACTGCATCCTTCATGTGTTTTCTTTCCAGATCCAGTCAGCCAGCTCCTTCGACTGCATCCTGGGTGTTCTATCCCCATTCCTTCCTGGGCACTCTTCTCTTAAATATAGTGAATGTGTCTATATCCTTGAAGTTTCCCAAGGCTGGATCCAGCATTCTTCATGCTGTTTCTTGCTTTGGGACAATATAAGTACTGTCTTAAGATTGATTATTATCTAGTTTTATGATCTCAAACCTAAAATATGCCGTTTCCTGTCCCTGGACCCAGAAGGCTTAAGCTGAGTGCTGAAGTAGAAAGTAACTTCTCATTTTTGTTTGTCTTCTAGTGACAGACATCACACCTCCAGCGCAATCCCTGTTCCAAAGAGACAAAGCTCCATATTTGGGGGTGCAGATGTAGGCTTCTCAGGGGGGATCCCTTCACCAGACAAAGGACATCGAAAACGGGCCAACTCAGAGAATGAGAGACTCCAGTACAAAACCCCTCCTCCCAGTTACAACTCAGCGTTAGCACAGCCTGTGACCACCATCCCTTCTGTGGGAGAGTGTGAGAGAAAGACAGCATCTCTGTCATCCTCCTTGGACACCTCCTTGGACTTCTCCAAAGAAAACCAGAAAAAAGGAATAGATTTGCATGATAGCTTAAATGAAGACCATKTGAGCGTGACCACTAACCAGGATCGAGGAAAAGCCACCTCTGGGCGTCCTACCACAGTAAATGGCACCCTGCTGCCCGGCGAGGCTGGCTCTGCCGGCGTCCAGCTTCCAGGTGAGTTCCACCCGGCCTCAGGAGCTGAGCTCTGCTGTACCGTGGAGCAGGCAGAAGAAATCATTGGGCTGGAAGCCACAGGTTTCACCTCAGGCGATCAGCTGGAAGCGTTTAACTGCATCCCAGTGGACAGTGCTGTGGCAGTAGAGTGTGACGATCAGGTCCTAGGAGAGTTCGAGGAGTTCTCCCGCAGGATCTATGCACTCAATGAAAACGTATCCAGCTTCCGCCGGCCTCGCAGGAGTTCTGATAAGTGAAGTGAGCAGACAGACACCAGGACCAGGGCAGCATCCCTWCCCCAAATGGGAAAAGCTGCACTTACCCTTTTTAATAATTATGACAAAAAGCAAATGTTAATGGAGGATATTCCTCAGAGAAACAAACTTTGGGACTAGAGGAGGGACTCAGGATCATTGTATATCAATGGGCCAGGCGAAATTAGATTTTGCTTTCAGGATTTGCTTTTTAGCCCTGATGATTGTTTTAAGGCAAAAGTCACCCTCTAGTTGAACGAGCTTATAGCTCGAGTCACCTTATAGGCATTTGTCTGCTTTTCATTTACACATCTATGTAATCCTCAGAGGGAAGATGATAATATATAAGTAATATAATGAACTCACCTTTAGTTTCTCATGAGCATTTGCCCTCACCATAGTTTATAAAACTTTGGGGAAATGGAATATTCAGAAACAGCTTTCTACCATTTACTGAAGGATCTGTGGCCATCTCGTAGTTTGGTAAATAAGAAGTAGAGTGGTCTCCTTATTCCCAGGCCCCTCAACCCGTGCCCTGCCCCCAGGCACCACACTCAATCTGTAGACTCCCCCACTGCCTTATCTTCACCATGGATGGGCCGTGTAGCCTGGGAACAGGTCAGGTTCACTGGTCTAAAACCCAGTAGTCTTGAGGTTCCATTTCTTCTAATCAGTCATGACCTTTCATCTCCTTTGATTAACTTTCAAATTAGATGAGAAACTTGCCTCTGAGGGACTCCCRGGGGAACCTGAAGGACCCCAAGATTACTGCAGTCAGATGGCATCCAGTTTTCTTTGGCACGGGGGGAGGGGGCAAAGTTTTTATGTGGGCAAGAACTAGGCGTGCATTCTGGCAGTACACCAGACAAAAATCCCTATATGTAAATCCCATGTTAATTTATTAAATTCCAGTCCGAAGAAAGGCTTTGTAAATGACAAAATATATGTAGAGGGTCAGGCTGTCCAATATACAAACTGCAAAGCAGTTGAGATAGTTGGATTAAGTGATTAGAGAGGCATAGAGAATATTATTATTGGTATGTGTGCAATTTCATAAATATTAAATTATGTTTTGCAGTCCAATTGTCATTCCTGCATTCAAATTTCATTTGCTGTTGCTTTATACATTATGTACCCAAGGACATTGCCTCAGGGTTGCAAGCTCTTTAAGGAAAATTTATCCATATATCCATGTATTGTATAGAAAAATAAAAATTGAACTTACTTCACTCGACCTGATTTTTTTTCCCCAGTTCTGAAATTCCTTTTAAACGTACGTCTCCTTATATTACATCATGACAAGACTAGCCTGAACAAGAGCCATAGCTGTCTCTAAGCTGACACTGTTGACGTCATTTGAGTTTATATTTTGTGTGTAGCAATACAACATATTTCACAGGTATACTTTCCAGTAGCTTCATTTGTCCTACATAGCAGCTTAACTCATAGGTCTCATTATTTTCACATTTTGTCCAAGCATTCCTGGGCCTAGTTTTAATTCACGGCTACATTATTAAATGGACCACTTCATGTTGTTATTTTCCATGTAGAGAACTCACAGAATTAATTGTATAACAGACAGATCCAGCTCTCATGCGATTTGATAAAGCTTGAATTTTATTAAGAAGAAAGCCCATCTTGGGCCCGGGGTTGTGGCTCAGTGGTAGAGCACTTGCCTAGCATGCGTGAGGCACTGGGTTCAATCCCCAACACCACATAGAAATGAACAAATAAAATAAAAGGTATTGTGTCCATGTACAACTAAAAAAAATATTTAAAAAAAAAAGAAGAAAAAGAAAGCCCATCTTATCCCACATCAAGAGTGGGGCTACTTTAGAACTTGAGCAAAGGCCATCCGAGCAGGAACTTCTTTACAGTGTGCTGTCATTCATGTTAAGAGTCAAAGAGGGTAGAGAGAGGCACCATCTTAGATAAGTGCATCATGCTATGGGGTTCTCCCATGAAGTAACATCTGCTAAGGGAAAAACTGTTTGGAGATCAGTTTTAGTACTGAAGAGAGGAAAGTGAATCATGTCTGATTTATGATTTCTCCAGACGTGGGGCTGCTAACCTCACTAGGTGCGTTCAGTCATAGCCCCTGTGGTACCACACAGCTCGCCTCTGGCACCATCAAGCAGTAGGGCCACATACAAAGCCTCAGGACTACAGGGTTCATCTCAGATTCCACATAAACAGATAGAGCCTGGAGCTCTAGGGTTTCCTCCATCATTTTCACTTTGTAGACAAGGTAGCGTGGAGCCCTGCCCTTGACTGTAATTGAATTGCACAGAACTGATCAGTAGTTGCCTATACTTTCACGGGATCCATGCTGTCTACTGGTGTATGCATCAAAACATCACTTAGGTTTGGATGTATTTAGTTTGGGCTTGGGGTTTTCATTTGAGATTGTTTGATGCCTGCACTTTCTCCCGTGACCTGGGTAGAATCTACAGAATTACATGTCTCCAAGAATAATGGTTTGATATTTTCCAAAACTTCAGAATTCATTTTGCTTCTCTTTAAAGTGGCCAAGGCCAAAAGACAAGATGATCTATCTCCTACTCATCKTTTTAATTAGTCTTGTAAATCATTTTAAAAAATAGAATTTGCTTGGAGGAGATAAGTTGAAATGGAAACTCATTATTATTTATTTCTGAATTGCTAAGAACCCCCTTGGTTTTCATATAGCTAAGATACTTTTAACAGCCAGCAAATGTTATCAAATGAATATTTGATTATGTTTTCTCTCTCCACTTCCCCTTAACCACTTTAGAAATTCCACAGATTTTTTTTTCCCTCAGAATATTAGTTTTGGAAGATTGTACCCAGCTATATTTTTTTAGCAGTTCTAATGGTGCCCATTTATCCTGACCTAACTGGTTATTTAAATAATTTTTTAAACCACCACCAATAATAAATGGCATGTGAAACTAATCTGTTGGTAATTGGAAAAAAACTGAGCATCTGTATTTATAAAATAAAATTGATTGGTATTTATTTTGAGAGTTAAAAGTRTATGTTATTTTCCTGCTATGTTTGAGTCCTGTCTTCATTGTTTTGAATTTCATATTGAAACTGGGTTAACTATAAAAATCTTGTTCTTACACAGCCAGCCAACCATTTAGCATTTATTGAGTGCACCGTGTGTGTGTGTGCACATACACACATACAGGGGACTGAGCTAAACAAAATAATCCAAATTAAGAAGCCTTGATCTCGACCACATTCTCTGGTGGGGGGCACAGGTATATTAGAAATTACTTATAACTCCATGTGATAAATTCTGTCATGGAGCTATAGAACCTGGCTATGGAATGCAGAGAAAACTTAATTCTGGCTCAAAGAAAAGGGAAGATTCGTGGAAGTTATGTGGGTGAAAGATGTATAAAAGCTTACATTATAGAGGGGGAGACAGAATGGGCAAAGTTCCCAGAGGCAAGGCAGGGCCTCGTGTGTATATTTGGCAAACAGTAAGAGTTTGCTGCGTGAATTCAGTGGGCTACTATTAAGAAGCTTTGTGAGGTTTTCAAAGCAGAAGAGTAACTCAGATCTGAATTATGACTAGCAGCCCAGCCAAGGCTGGATTCCAGTGATCCTTGTTTGAGTCTGATTAATCTTTTTTTCTTTTTTATTTACTAAATAGATCTGTGTCTGGAAAAAAGTTCATCCCTGTGTCCCTCACGTTCTTGGGGTACACATGGATTAGAGTTTGTCGGGTGGCACAGTGCAGTCAGTACCTCCTCTGTAGAAGCTGGATTCTGAATGCCCAGTGGCAACGGGCATGTCTCTGCAGCTCTGCAACTTTGAAGCTGTGACTCTCATCGAGTTATTGAGCATTTTAAGAACCCCCATTTCTTAATTTCTAAAACCTTGGGAACAACCCTGCCCTTTTCTGATTACATTAGTTTGGGGCCTGCACCATCATAGAGGCCCCTTCAGTACTGGCTTCCTTTTGTCCTGTAGAGGCCACTTCACAGAGATAGTAAGGGTGCTTGAGGCTCCTCATCAGGCTTCCTGWTGGAGCTCAGGAATAGCCACTTAATCTCTCTGAATCTGGATCCTAATTTGTAAAGTAGGGCTAATACCTCAATCCTGTGAGGTGGTGAGAAGGAGCAACATTTTAATGACAGCATTTAAAGATTTTTACAAAGCATTGTGCACATTGGGAGGAGTTAGTCATTCAACAAGGATTCCTTGTGTGGGCTGCATTGGGCTTTGGTCAGGTCACTGAGGCACACAGGGAGAATAGGTACCAGGGATGACACTACTTTTCTGCAAAAGCTCTCAACAAATTGAAGTGTTTTGAGCTGTTTGATGGAGAGTGCTGTGGACATAGTGCCGAGATGCGGCCTATGCGCCTAATTAGCTTCATCCTCCTGTCTGCCGCCTGGCAGATGAGCTTGTGTGGGCCCACCTCATCTGTAAGTCTTTCTCACAGCTGTCGACTACTTCATTGCTGAATTGGTGCCCAGAGCTCTTGATTTTTTTTTTGAAGTTGATAGCTTTCTTGTTCTTTTTTTCCTCTTAGCATATCTAATTACTGTTTTGTAGGCAGACAGCTCAGCCTTGTGGATTTTAAATGAATAAAAAAATGCATGCCTATAAAATAATTCCACACTTTTCTAGAAGCCAGCAATTCAGATAAAGWATGATCACACATCTAAAGAAAAATGAAAAAGCCAGTTGATGAAATAGCTGCAACTGAGCTCAGGCACAGGAACATAAGGGGACAGTGGCAGGCTGACAGCCTTTGGTCTGCTGTGTGCACACCATTCTAATGAGCTCTCAGTCCCTATTCAWCTTGAGCAGCAAATCAGAAAAGCATGGAGGATTAGGGTGGGCAGAAATAGTGGATAACCTGCCTGAGAAACTGCTAGGAGGTCTCAGGAAGGAAGCAGGTGTGGTGGAGGGAGATGCCCACAGGCCAGGAGGACAAGTCAGACCCCAGTCCCAGTCTGTCGCTCACTGGCTTTGTGACAGATAAGCCATTTATCTTCTCTGAGCCCATAGTCCCTCTGCAAAGTGACATCAGCCCTCGCTTAGGTTTTCCTTTGAGCCTGGACAGAGGTTCCTCTAGCTCTACAAGCAAATTTGTATTCATTCTTCAAAACCTGTCTCCGATTGCCTTGGAGTCCAGAACTTGGCAGGATGGGAGAGGGCTCTAACTTGTTGCTCTGCCTGTTTGTGAGGAATTGAGAGCTAAACCATTTGTTGGCAGGCTGCTTCTGACCAGAGGGTGTTGCAGAACCACTACCACCCTGCCATCTGCTCAAAATCCTAGACACAAGGACTTGTAAAAKAATTAGCAAAAAATAATAAAAGAGTAAACTTTTTTAAAAAGTCAGCTTGGCTGAGGCGTTGT